TATTGAAGACCACTTTGTGCAAGCTTCTAAACTTTCTATTCTCCCCTTACCATGAACAAATACAACACCAAGGGCACTGACAGAAAAGAAAATATTTTATACGGCTCTTTTCTGTCTAGTAGTAGGGGAAGATCATGAACAGAACATTGCAAAATCGGACATAAAATAATTGAGGAGAGCTTAAATGCATCTTCAAGTTCTTTTTTGAGGAAAATTCTCATGTTTTTATAATAGATGTTAAGTTGCTGTTTTTCTTCCCCTTTGGGATTTGTTTGGTTCTAGATAGAAAGATTAATTCAAATGGGCAGTTTTCCTGCTTGCTACATGAAATATACTGGTAAACACAATAAAATAATTAAAGACATGAACAATGAATAGCCAGTTTTATGTATGCTAATAAAAACATACTAAATGGTATTTAAAGAGTAAGAGTACAATCAACATAATTGTACAGTTTTGAGGAAACATTTTATAAAAGCCTTCTATGAAATAAAAACTGATAAGAAAAACTACTTTTAAAGTAATGTTTTCAGTACACCTGAGAATTATCTTGAAACTAAATTTGCATATTTTCAATTATATTTTGCTTTTTTAAGTTTCTCAATGTCAGAGCATAATTTTGACACTGGTCCAATTTCAGCCCCACGTACTTCAGCAGCGGCTCACCCTTCGGCAGTAGCAGGGCTTTCCTGTCAGTCTCACACGGCCTGAAAAGTCGACTAGGGGCCGATAGCTGAGGATCTTAGAGTTTCATAAACTGTATCACCTTCATTTAGTGGTTCATAACCTGTACTGCTTCATCCACAGTCCAGGTTGAAGATCCTTACAAAACCCGTTTCAGGACACTGGGGTCAGGAACAGCTGCATTACTTGAAGTTAGGGCTGTTTCTTCATCCTCGAAAGATGCATATTATCTGCCTGAGGTTTGCTGACTGCTGTGTGCTTGCGTCTTCTCTCAGCACGTAGGGGTGCTGTCCTCAGAGTCTTCAAGTTCAGAATTTATGGTCAAGTCAACATCAGCGACATTTGTTGCTTTCCATATGTATAAAAATAATCTCAATTTTCCTGGTGGCTGCGATACATCTCCTCTGAGGCAACATCACCCATCTGGGAAGATGTCCCGCGAGTTGTATTTGTACCCCATCCATCAAAAGTAATATGAATTTGATCTCCTTTGACAGCTCCAACTGTGGCAGGACAGAACAGAAATGGATTTTTGTCTAGTGATAGCTTCAATCTTCATCCCAAATTTAAAAGGACATAAGAACACTATAGGTGCCAGTTCACATCCAGTTAGCGTCTACTGTAGGAACATGGGCCATGATGAAACATTCATCCTGTACCCAGTGGAGGCTGAAGTAAAGCTCTTTCTTGTTCACGTGTGCCAAAAGAGTGTATGTCTGTTGAATCAACAAGGCTCCAAAACTCATTATTGTCACTACCATCCAGTCGTGAACGTAATCTGTCTCTAATAATTCCAATACTAGAAGAGACACACACAGAAGCAATAATATGAGGTTCATGAGCTTCAAATTTCACACCAACTTGGAATTCACTAGTTGCTGGAGTCTTAGACTGAACCATTGTAAGGAAGAATTTGCAGATCCAGCCTCTTTCAAATACTTGTGCCAGTCAAAAGAAATCTAGGGCGATCATCTTCACTTCTAAATGTGTGTTCTGGCCTTCCCAAGGACTGTTGTTCATGTTCTCTCATTATTGCCATTTCTCCTGGGCAATTATCAGGCTTAACACAGCCTTACCCTCAATGCACAGTCTGCATAGGCCTGCACAGTCTCCTGAAAATCACATTCACAGAGCCTGGGCCATTGTGCTCAGGTAGATGCTGAACTTTGTGTGGATTCAAGGAGAGTCCACAATCTCCACATCCATTTATATAGACATAGACTTCAGTCCCTGTTCAGTAACCAGTTGTCCTAAAACCAGCTGTCATTCTCCAGTGGCAAGTTCCATAAAATCATCTAGAATAGATGGTCTTCTGTTTATTGGTGGGAAAATCCCCTGAGATAGGGTTGTATATTTATAAGTTTGCTGGAAGAAGATTTTCTTCACCATCTTCATTGTCATCCTCTTTCTTCTTCATCAGCTTCATCACCCCCATTGTCTTCATATTGACTTTCGATCTCTAGAGCTGCTTCGTGTTCATCTTCAGGAGGTGTGGTGTGGTCTACCTTAAGTCTGAGGACTGTTTTCTGCTTACATTTTTCTTAGCTGGAGCACCTTCATTTTCCAAAGCTGTGGTTCCGTATTTCCAAGGTCTACACATGGCTTTGCCCTCTGGTGTGTCTTCAGCTTGGCTTTGAACAAGGCCTATAGTAGGGTTATGAACATGAGCCTTAGGGATGAAAGGCTGGGCACTTAACGTTATCACACTGCAGGCAGTGGCAGAAGCGTTCAAGGTAGCCAAGTGGAAATGATTCACTATTCACTGGAAGGAGCTGAACAGCATGGACTTTCCCACCAAGGAAGGCTGTTATCATTTCTTCTCTGTGATTATCTGGCTTAGCAAGTCGAAACACAGCCTTGCCTTCAATGGCACAATCCTCATAGGCCTGCATAGTCCACTGGGGGAATCACATTCACAGGGCCTGGGCCAATGTGCTTAGGCAGATGCTGAACTTTGTGTGCATCCAGGTAGAGTCCACAATTATATAGAGAGACACAGACTTCATTCACTGTCCAATGGTATCCTCTTCTGCTTTATTCTTCAGCACCATCCAACCTTATATTCATGATGGGGATGTGTTTCCTCTTGAAGGAAATTTTTCTTCCAATCCCATGGACATGTCTGTTTCCTCTTATGTCTCCTGTCATTTATTTGATCTGTATGCTCCAGAACCTAAGTTCTTGGTAGAAATCTTTTCTGGGCTAGATATGACATCTTGGCTCAGGCAGGTAGGCTGAAAGGTACTTGGTTGGTTGGGCTTAAATGACGGGGCTGCTTTTAATTCAGGTTGCACCATCCTGTTAATTTCCAGTCTCTGGAGCTCCTCCTTGTTCATCTTCAGAAGGTGTGGTATGGTCCTCCTGAGGTCCGAGCACTGTTTTGTGCTTGCGTTTTTTTTTTTTCTCAGCTGGAACTGCTTTTTTATTTTCAAAAGCTGTGGTTTCGTATTTCCAAGGTCTATACATGCTTACAATTCAGGTTTCCCGATTACAACTCAGGTTGCAGTTGCTTGCTTTGTTGCTTGGAATAGCTTGATGAAACTCCCTGTCAATTCAACAGACCTCATAGCTCAGGAACCTCAGCAGTGCTTTCCAGATGGGGTTGGGGGATAGCCTTTGTTCTAGAATGCAGCTCCTACATGAGAAGCTCCAGGTGTTCTGGGATGGACTTGTTTGTTGTTGTGACCTCCTGCCCGAGAGCAAGCAGGAATGGTGTGCTCTGTGGTCAAAGCAAACTCTCCTTAAAATCCCTTTACGAAAATAAAGGAAAGTGAGCCCATTTTTAAATGATCTATGTAAATGCAGTTGGAGTCCTAGAGAAGAGCACTTGCTGTACAAATGTGTGGGCTTGAGTCTGAATCCCCAGAACCCACATCAAAAGCCAGGTGTGGCTACCCTTGCCTGTAAACCAACCACTGAGGGGTGGAAAGAGGCAGAGCCTCAAGTTCACTGGTCATGCAGTCTAGCCTTGAATGACAAGCTTAGCAAGAGGCCACATCTCAAGGCAAAAAGGCAATAAAAGAGACAACTAACATCATGTGTGCATGTACTCATGGCACGCGCACACACACATACATACACCCAGCTAATACTTAGATAATACCCAAATGGCACAATCCTGAAATTTGGGAGCCTACATTCTAGAGTTTAAGTGCGGGTATCCCATGTCCAGAGCTCATGTATGCTTTGTCCTTCTGCCGAAAGCCAACCATTGTTCATGACCTTTAGATTTTTGTGTTTGGAAGATGGGGATTTCCTTATTGCTTCAGAAGGATGTTTTTGGCAGACAATGCATATTCCTATCCTGCCTATGGAAGGAAAGCTTTCTAGGCTGGGCCAGCCCTGGTAACTTGACTAAATGAATAGTGCAAAAATAGAGTCCAGTGTGTATTGAAATCCCAGGTATTTGCTCCTGGCAGCAGCTTCCCGCTAGCTGTGGCTGGCAGCATGAACAGCATGTCAGCTGCGGGGTGGTAGTGATTATTGATTTCTGGGCTATAAATGAAAGAATGGAAAGCTCCAAGCTTCACACCCAGGGCCTGCCTCACTGATTGAGCTGACCGGCTACTCCAGGCAGAAACCCCCATTTACAGGAACATATTTATTTTTACATATCAATGGACTTGATGTACTTGATTGAGTATTATGGGTTTGGCCCCAGGAAACCCTCCTGCAGTTTATAAATAGCACATTTAGGGATGTAAAAGGTTCCTGGAATTAGAGAAGTGTTTTTCTTTTTATGATTCGCCCCCACCCCCACCACACACACCCCCTTTAAAGACTTTTACATTTACTTCCCACTATTTGTATGCATTTCTAGAAATATACTTATTCCAGATATTTAACAATGCAAATTAATTTTGAGTAACAATGATCTATATTTTAGAGTCAAAAACCAAATCCCAGCTAGGGAAGTAGAGTCCTTGCCTCACAGGCATGAAATTGGTTCAGTTTCCAGAACCAAATAAGCTGGTTGTACTGACATCTTACTGTAATTTCAGCACCCGGTAAGTAGAGGCTCACCCTCAGCTATTCACTGAGTTTAAGTCTAGCCTGAGGCGGCTACATGAGACCCCATCTCAAAACAAAGCAAAAACCAGTCTTTATCCATAGCACAACTTCTAAGGCCCTACTCCCTTGAAGGCAGCTTCAATTACTGCTGAAAATGCCGTTTTATTATCTGGCAAGAGTGTGGCCTCAGGGATTCAGAACTGATACCATTCTCAGGCTCCAGGGAGATTCCACTGAACCCATTTTAGCAGATTTGTTCTGTGAGCTAACATCTCTCCCTCCATCCTTTTTACAAATCCCAACAGAAATGGAGATCTTCGCCTTTTTCAACAGACCGAAGAGCCAGCAGAAGTGTCGGCAGTACTACCCCGTCACCATCCCCCTCCAGGTCTCCAAAAATGGCCAAACAGTGAGCAGTCTGGATGCCAGCTGGCTGGAGCACATGAGTGACCATTTCCGGAAAGGCGGCGTGCTTGTGAACGCCGTCTTCCAGCTTGCAATGGCCAATGGTATGGAATCCGTTACCTCTTCTCTTCCTGTTCCCGTGATCTTGCCTCTTCTCTCTAGCTTCCTCCTTAGGGAGAGCTGTGTAGTCAGTAAACACAGGGCATTTGGTTTGTAATGATCATACCTCAGGCTGGACCCTTTGTTCTGTGAGACTCTCCAGGAATGAAGATGGTTTTTCCTAACCAGTGGTAGCTCCCATCCTTGTTGCTTTTAGAGTCTTTTAAGATGATAACTCCCTGAGACTGTTAATTTCCCTCCTCGGATCACGCCACTCCAGAAGTGCAGTTTGTAGACACTATTTACAGTCCAAAGTAGCAATAGCAGCACTGTGGAACTGACACAGTTAATAATAGCAGTGCCTCCCTTCCAGCTGTTGCTGGGACCCAACCCTCCTGAATCTGAACTGCTCAGTAGTCTGCCCCAGTGGGCTCACCTCTGGAGCTTTGCTGCCTGGAACAATACAATTGCCCTCAGCGTTTGAAAAGACTTCTGGAAAGTCTGTCCAGAATGGGGAAAGGTTTTGAACCACAAAAGGCTGTAGGATTAACATGGCTGCGAGTTGGGTCATCTTCAGAGACAATGAAGCAGTTTTAGGGTGTGCAGCTAGCATGCCAGCTTGGGCAGGGTTGTGAATCAGCAGGATTCCTAAGGAAGTGAGATGTAACACAAAACTTTTGCATCCCAGCAGAGCCTGACAGGGGCATTTACAGCTGGTTTGATGGCATTTAGCTTCTCAGGCCTGAGCAGGGCTGGGAAAACTGTGCTTGTTTCTCTGTTTCTCTCTTAACCTGGCTATCAATCAAATAATCGAGACTCATTATTTTTTAATAAGCTTCACAGTGCAATAACTGAGAAGTTCTTACTCTATTCTTAACCCTCTGAGCTAATCTGGCTTCCTCCCAGTGTGCATCCCAGCAATACTTGCACTTTTTGGCTTTCCTGCTCCAACTCCTCTCTCCTGATGTCTCCTGGACCTCTCTGCCTGTGCTGAATCCCCTATTTCCTCTTCTAATTTCCCCTCCCCTGGCTGGCAGGAAGTCCAGCCCTATTCTCTCCCCTGCTCAGCATTTGGCAGTAAACTGTTTAATTAGCATATCAGGGAAAAATTGAGGGGCAGTGATTATACAACATTTAGACAAGAGATTCTCAGGACTAGGATTGCAACCAAATAGGAAGGATACAGAAATCAGCATTTGAATTACACAATAACCTTATACCTACATCTCTCCCTTTTAGTCTAATAAAAGGATATTTCTCTTACAATAACAAACTATATGTAATAATAACAATTACAAAAATGATTAGGTAAGATTTACATTTCTACTTTTGGCACACTTGGATGAAGTATTCTACTATCTATCAGTTTCTGTCATCCTAAACAATTTAAGTTTAACTGTGATACTATAACTATCTAGTCTTCAACCCCATCAGAGACTTAAGAAGGGATAAAATTCATAAATATGCAGGAAGTGCAAAAAGCAGCTTCCAAACATATAAAAATGACAGAGATATTTGGCTGCATGGACAGTTCCCCCTTCTCCCCCAAATCCTTCTATAATGTTGGAGGATCATCTCCAGCCTTCTGGCTCAGAATATCTGACAGACTTTTTTATGAAGCAATAATTATAAAGAACTTGCCTATCTTGTCCTTGCAAAGTTTGGCAAAGCTTGACTCTTCTGCATCCATTTTGTCCAGTTTTGGACAGTATTTTGTAATTGACGCAAGGGCATTTTTTCACCCAGTGGCTAGCTTGCCACATATGAAGCCTTTGATGCCCTTTGAAGTAGAACTGGGATGCTACAAGGAGCAGACCTGTCTCATAGTCAAAAAAGCCTAAATTTAATAAAATCTTTAAATGCCATATTGTGTCGATCTTTGAGGTTTTTGAAAGCTATCTATCCGTCTATCTTATCAGAATTGTTTGGTTTTAGCTATTTTTTATCTGTCAATCTAGAAATATATTTTTGTAATGACTTGTTTGTCTGACTTCTAATATGCACTTCTTACTTATCCTAAACAGTTTATAATAGTAGCTTTTAAAATAAATAGAACTTAACATTGCATTTTAAAGAATGATGCAGTGTTAGTTACAATACTTCAGCATGTTGTAACCAAATATAATCTTAAATCTGTATTAATATACAAAGATCTATACCAATGTAAGATTTTTTTTGGCTTATTTATGCCCTTTGGTCTAAAAGAAAATTTAAAAATCTACCCTTTTACTTATCATTCCTATAACCAACCCCTTTAAAACAATAAATAACAAACATCTCTCACCCATAGAATGACCAAAAACCATACACCCCATCTTGGAAATGGGGCATAGTTTTCTTAAATTGCTTCCTGATGATTTGGGATATCATTTTTCTTTTTTGGGGAGCGGGAGCAAAAAATTGGGATATTGTCCAGTCTTAAGAAAGCTAGCTGTAACTTTTGCTGTCCAGAGCTTAACAGAAGTCCTGTCCGGAATAGTCTGTGATGCTGGACTATCTAGTTAGATGTTTTGAAATTGCCCTCGATACAGATTTTTGAGGAAACAGTTATTGAGGCTGTCTGTGAAGTAGGATCACCTGGGCTTCTTGTCTTTTTTGGTATCTGGTCCTCTTTCTCACAAAATATTAACTTTCAAAAGTTTGTACTTTTTTAACTTTTATTTTTATTAGTTACAGCTTATTCACTCTGTATCCCACCTGTAGCTCCCTTCTTCTTTCCTTTCCAATACCACTCTCTCAAAAGTTTGTACTTTTTTTGTATTAATGTATGCAAGGGCTCTGCACTGAGCACAGTTCAGTTAAAGGTGATTCTCTGTTCCCTCTTCAAGTAGGTAAGACACTTGTTTTTCCATATAAGTTAGTTTGGATTGTATAACCATACTTTAAAATAATTTTCATCTATTCCATTTAAAATAATGGCATGATAAGTCCTGAGGATTTTGTAGGCAGAGATTTATTGGCCATACACAGTTTAAGTCCTGGCTGGAGACATTTTCATAGCTCAGTCTCAGCTGTTCCCCATGGAAGGATCAGAAAACTATGTCGCCTGACCTCTTTCATCTTCTTGATTTCTTTCCTTCTGTCTGCAGCCCAGATCTTCAGGAGGTCTCCCACTGTCAAATCTGAGTTTGGATGGAATACATAGCTTTTTGTTTTCAGTTGAGACAAGAACATATTCTCCTTCCCAGCACAACACATTTCCTGTCCTCCATTTTGGAATTAGGGCCTGCATATGCTAATCTAATTGAGCAGTCCTTTCTAAAATCCAGTGTATCTTAGTAGGAGGTATGCTGCTTGTCTCCTTTAATAATTTTGAGGTCAGTAAATCATTATTTAATCTATTTGGGGGAGATGTTGTATTCCCCTTCTGTTTTATGACTATCTTTTTAAAATTACTGTTAGATCTTTTCATAATTATATAACCTATAGGACTGTAAGTTATAACTATAACAGATTTCACGTCATAATATCTAAAAATTGTTGTATTCCAATAGATAATACATGCAACATCAGCCCCAGTTTAGAAAGGCATCTCCAAGACAGTCACCATCTCTAAGAAATGTATGACCTTAGAATCCTGTTCTCCAGAACTTAAGGAAAAAGCCCATTGGAATTCTGAATATGAACCTATGGCATGATGCATATATTTGAATTCTCCAAACCGCAACATGGAGCACACAAGCCACTGTATAACCTTATCCCAAGGCTACACAAACAGGATCTGCATTTCTGCTTTAACATATAGACCTTTATCCAGTCATTGAATTGACAGTACAGTTAAAATATCTAATCTGACCATGTTGGCCGATAGGCAAAGCGTTTTTATCCAGTATCTCAATGGGCTGCCATGCAATTTCTTCAAGTGTGGATTTTTCTTATCTGGAACTACCTCTTTTGGTGTTGTTGTAAATTCCAAGGGGGTTATCTGAAGGTTGCCTATTTTTGTTCAAAGATTCCTTTGATCTTTGTTCTATGGCCTTTAATTTAACATCTAATTTCTCCAAGTCTGTCCTATTCTGATCACTCCCAAAGACAAAACTATAACTGTCATTGAAAATATTATTTGTATGCTAAGAGAAAGAAAAAAAAAAAAAAAAACTCAAATGGAATCCAGAGGCACTGTGTCACTGTGTCTTCCTCCATTGTCAGCATAGAAAATAATCTTCTTTAATCTCTAAACCTCTTTCTAAGAACTTTACTTTATTAGGCCCAGCTTCCCTTCCAGACATTACCAGCTCAGAAGCTTGAGGCTTCTCTGTCTTTCGGTCCTGCTTCCAGGGAGAGGCCTTAATTTTATTTTATTTTATTTTTTCTGTCTCCCTTGCTGAATCCTGATCCCTCCCACACTCTGGAAGGGTATTTAGTCCACAGGTGTTTGCTTCTCTGGCCTGTAGGAGTCAGGCCAGCAAGAGCCACTTCTTGCTTCTTGAGGTCCTGCCTTGGCTAGGAAAGTCTGGCTTTGAGAAGCTTGCTTGTCTTTTTGTTTTTAATTTTTTATATTAATTACAGTTTATTCATTTTGTATCCCAGCAGTAGCCCCTTCAGGCTACCCACCTTTCCTCCCTCATCTTCTCCATGCCCCTCTCCAAGTCCACTGATAGGGGAGGTCCTCCTCCCTTCCCTCTGACCCTAGCCTATCAGGTGTCATCAGGACTGGCTGCACTGTCTTCCTCTGTGGCCTGGTAAGGCTGCTCCCCCCTCAGGGGCAGGTGATCAAAGAGCCAGCCACTGAGTTCATGTCAGAGACAGTCCCTGTTTCCCTTACTAGGGTACCCACTTAAAGTCTGAGCTGCCATGGGCTACATCTGTGCAGGGGTTCTAGGTTATCTCCATGCATGGTCCTTGGTTAGAGTATCAGTCTCAGGAAAGACCCCTGGGCCCAGATTTTTTTGATACTGTTGCTCTCTTTGTCCCCTCCAGGTCTTTCTATCGCCCCATTCTTTCATAAGATTCCCTGCACTCTGCCCAAAGTTTGGCTATGAGCCTCAGCATCTGCTTTGATATT